AAGGAGAAGGAACCTGGCCGGAGGGGGATTGTATTGAACCTGAACCTGAGCCCTCCCGGAATGGCGGTGTTAATGGCTCGCCAAGTCCTGGCCCCCAGAAATCAATCACTGCACAGGCTGGTGCTCTCTGCTCTGCCCCCTCCTTTCCCTCTCGCCTATCTCCCATCTCTCCCTGCGGCTCACACCCCTGGGCGCTTGGCTTCCTGGCTGGCCTGCCTTTGACCTACTCTGCAAATGAGATTTCAGAGCCACTATAGGCCATTTTGTTTCAATGTCTGGGCATGGCTCCATTGGGAGCTGCTGTGGACAGGTTGGGTGCTTCTGAAGGCATGGCAGCTGGTAGCGGGATGCGTCCAGAAGATGCTGGGTGAAGCACTTCAGATCTGGGAGGGGTGCAGAGGGAGGAGTTGAAGGGACAGTGAGGGGGTTGTCATGTGAGCAGATGGCTTCAGCTGCAAAAGGAACCTCTGTAGGACCCAGAAATAAAGGTGTGTGCACCCTGGCGCCGGGGCCCGTAGATGTGACCCAGGTTCCATGCAGGATGACAGGCAGGGAGGACCCGGCACAGCAGGGTAGCCTGGGGACTTCGGCTTTGACAGCCATCACCTTTCCCACAGTCTCTCCCCCAAAACCTCATTCACCTGGACAGTGGCTCAGATTCGGGACCTGAACAAAATGTCCCTTAACAGGTCCAGGTGCCTGCAGCCAAAGGCCTCCGTGTCACGAGCCAGCCACCCAAGGCCCTGCCAGGCTAACAACGTCTCTACCCCAAGCAAAGCGCCGCTCCCTGGCCCCTCCACCTTGCCCGGGGCTGGCAGTTCCTGGGGCTGCTTTCAGGGTCTCTGGAGAGCACCTCTGGGGTTCAGGAGGGCGTGGGGTCTCACAGGAAACAAGATGGCCCCTTCCCAATGGCCATCCCCAAGGAAGGAACAAGAAGGAGGGCAGTGGCTTTGGTGTTCAGGTGGAATGGAGGGTGAGGGGCGCAGAGGAAAGGGCGAAGGCTGGGGCGCCCCGTCACTCCCATCAGCAACAGATGGACCCAGCTGCTTTGGAGTCAGAGGCCCAGCTGTGCCCTCGGTTCTGCGAAGCAAACTTTCACTCACTCAACTCCTCTTTGGGAGTGTTCTGCATTTTATTCTCCAGCCCTGGGGATGAAGAGGGGACCGCTATTTCCTGAGGCAACTCGGAGCAGGCCTGGTCTTTGTATGCTCCTTCTCCAGCAACGGATGGTCTCGTTGCGTGGAGAGCAGAGACACTGGGAGGGCTGGAGTGGGAGCTGTGCAGAGACGAGGGCGGATTATTCAATCCAAATGTTTCTCCCCAGCCTCTCAGCCCTGAGTCACTAAAGCATGGCAACCCCAAGCTTACTAGAAACTCCTCTGAGTCAGCTCACCCACCAAGCCTTTGGTGATCAGCTGAGCACCCAGGCCACGGGCACAGCTGTCCTACGTCCTCTCCAAACAGGAGGCGCCCTCGGTGGAGGGGGGAATGTGAAAGCCAGCCCCCTGTTTTTAGGGCACAGCTTCTGTGGTATATGGATTTCTTAGGAAAGGTCCCATAACTTCAGCACATCGAGCAGCACAGGCACCAGCGGTGGCTGCATATGCTCGCCTTCGTGGCAGGTCCTGGGCAGCCTGGCCCCCCAAGGCTGTAGGGGAGAGCCCCAGTGCAGCCCCACGAGGCCCAGAGTCCAGAGCAGGGACAGGGTTGCAGGGCCAGTGGCCTCCTTCCAGGAGGGACTCTGCTGCAGTCGGGCCCAGAGCAGGGCGGACAGGCCTGGCTGGCAACAGCAGGACCCTCCCAGCTCACTCACCATGGCTTGAAACTGCACAGATAGGAGGGCCCTTGGAAATCACATGATCCCACCTCTCTCCCCAAAAGTACAGACCAGGAAATGGAGACCCAGAGATGGGGCAGGGACTGGGCTCCAGAGGCAAAGCTGCTGCCCTTGTCTCTTCCAGGGGTAATGACTCAGGGGAATTCAGCGCTGCCGCAGACACAGCCAGGCAGCCAGTGGAGCTGCTGGCACCCCAGCCCTCCCTGCCGCACCTTATTCTGCGCTCATATCCTCCTGCTGGATCTCAACCTCTCCTCCACTGCAGGCAGGAGGCCAGGCTCATGCACCGCTGGCCTGGGAGCCCCAGAAAGGCCAGGTGCACACCTCGGACGGCTGCCTCCCCTCCCCTCCCCATGCAATCTTCCGCACTCACGCTCGTTCAGGCTCTAGGCTTCTGAACTCAGCCAGCCCGAGCCCCATCCTACTTTGCCACTACACTATCGTGCCACCACCAGGGAGCCACGGCCTCAGTTTCCCGGGCTGTAACATGGGGACAATCTCCTCAGACTTCCAGAACTGCTGTAAGGATAAAATGAGGTCCTTGGTGCCAATGGGTGTGACCTGTGGTACAAAGGAGAAAGCTAACGGGACCTGGTGACAACACCCGCTCCCTACTTGCTCCCAGCCCCTCCCTCAACATCCTGGCTCCACCCCTTCCAGGCACTGAGGCTCAAATGCTATTACTAGTAGCCAGAATCTGACATATGAGAATAAGAGGAGACACTGCAGGGGGCCCCTTGGCTGGGGTGCCAGTGCAGATTCTGCGGAGCAACCGTCCCCCTAGCCCAGGCCCAGCCTAGTTCAGGGCCCCCAACCCCACTCCGGCGCTCCAAGCTCCGAAGTCCCCACTCAGTAGCACCATTGGGGACCGGGAAGCGCAGGGCGCGTCGTGCAGGACGGGCGGAGAGGGCAGAAGCTTGCAGGTGGGAGGAAGGCGGGCGGGGGCGTGGGAGGTGGAGGGAGACGCCGGGAAGGCCGCGGCCCCTCCCCGCTCCCTCCCTGCGCGCCGCCAGCTACATTGCCCCTCCTGGGCAGGGGGCGGAGAAGACGGCGATGGGAGGGGAGGAGGCGGTGGCGGAGGCGGAGGAGGCGGAGGCGGAGGAGGCGGTGGCGGCGGCGGCGGCGGCGGGGGCGGGATTTGGAGTTTCCCTCCGCAGCGCCGGCGGCTGCCCCTCAGCTCCTGGCAAGGCCGCCGCCCGGGGTTCCGGTGGCGTTCGGCGGCAGCAGTGGCGCTTCCCGCCGACCGAGCTTCAGAAACTTCCCGGCCGCGACGCAGGGAACAGGCTCAGAGAACCGAGCGGAGCAGAGGTGAGTGGAGCACACGACGTCCTGGGGACCCCCACCCCACCCCACCCGGCCTGGCTGACCCCCCCTACGTGCACCCCCTCCTCCACCCCACACCCCCAAAGTCCTGACAAGGCACTCCCCACGAAGCCGGCGCACGCGCCCCTAGGAGACCCATTGGGTGCTGCCGCCGCACACCCGTGCACCCCTCCCGTGCACCTCCCGTGTCCACTGCCACTTAGACCGGCTGCACACTCGCGCGCACACAAACCACGCATCACAGAGCCGGGTCCCTGTAATGCACACACTAGCATCCCCTGTACCACTACTCACCACTGTCCCCAACTCATGCCAACCCACCGAGACCCTGCCACGCCCCAGTACACACCCAGGCGCACACGCACGCTTCCAACACATCTCTGCGATACCTGCACTAACATAGCTCCCCCTACCATGCTCTTGCCACCTTGAACTCCCCATATCCCATGACAGACACCCCACCCAGGTGCCCAGCCCAGAGACACTGCAGTCCACCCACCCGGGAGCGAGGTCCCATCACAAATCCACATCCCAGCGGCCGATACTCCCCACGTCCCAGGCACACACCTCCAGCATCTCCAGCGCGCACTCTCATCCGCCCCAGCACGCGCGCACACCTGCTGGATTCACGCTCTCCAGCACCCTACCCCGCCCCCATCACAAATAGCCTTCGACACCCCCAGCACATCTCTGAGTCCCTCCCTCCCAACACCTGGCACGCGGGCTCTAGAGGCTGCAGCATTTGGTGGCATCCCTGCCAGGCACCTCTGGCTCTCCTTCGGCAGCGTCTCATCAGCCTTCGGCTCCCCAGGTGCCTCCCTAAACAGACCTTGAGACTCCCCAGCGACTGACTTGGCCTCTTCCCTAAGAGATAAAGAAGGCACTTGGGGTGCAAGGTAGGGTACTTAGATGCGGAGGCAAGGGGCCGGGGGGAGGGGCGGGGTGGAGGCAGAGAGCGCCCGCCGCTGAAATGGAGGCGTCCCAGGTGGGACCAAAGGGGCGCCAGCTGCCCGACCAGCCCGTAGTAGGTGGGTTCCATGCGGGCTGGAGTCCGCGCGCGCTGTCTGGGTGCCGGCCTGTGTGTGTGTTACGGGGAGAGCTGTATGTGCACGTGTGCTTATGCGTGTCGGGGTGGGGGAGGAGTGTGTAATCGGCAGAAGGAAAAGCAGGAGCAGCTCCCTCAGGCAACAATTGGTTTCATTCATTCATGCCTTCTTTGTTAACGAGCATTTCTTCCGCGAGCGCCGGGCGCGTGCCAGGCCCTGCACTGGGGGCTGGGGCCAGCTTGGGGCCGGGCACACACACGTTCCTGCCTTGGAGGAACTCCCAGTCCCGCGAGGAGACCGACCATCCCCAGCAGAAAGTGGATTTGATGGAAAAGACACTGGATTTGGCAGACACGCTGTCTCTGGGACTTGTGCTCTTGGCCATGTGACCCGGCCGCGACAGCCGAAATCCTGCCACTCGGCCCGGCGGGAATGGTGCATTTCGGGGTGGGAAGGCGGCGCGGCGCCGCTCTCGGGAGGCCCCCGGGACCAGAGGGCGCACTCGGCACGCGCGAGGCCTGCAGACGGCGGCTTCCTCGCGGCCTCCAGGGGGCGCTGGCCCGGCCGGGCGGAGGCCCGGGGCGCCCGGCAGGGGCGGGGGCGGGGTAGGCGGGCGCAGCGCCCACCCTGCGACGAGCAGCGAGCGCGCGGCCTGGCTCCGCCCGCCGGAGGGGGCCAGGAGAGGCCCGGGCGCGCGACGCGGCCTCTCCCTGCACGGCCCACCCGGGAGTGGCTGCGGGGCTCGGCGGCGCCCAGAGCTGGCGCTGCTGGGGGCCTGAGTGGGGGCAGTCAGGCGAGGGTCGCCGTTAGAGGGGGTTAGGAGGTTGGCTGCGCTCAGCCCTGCAGTGCGGAGGCCGCAACAGGTTCCCGTTTGTCCTGTTGCTGGCGCTGCGGGCGCTGTGGGCCCTGAACTCTCAGCTCTGACTTTGGAGATTGAGCCCCTCATGGCCTCCTCATGAGCCCCTTATGGCCCCCTCCTAAATTCTTTCTCCGGATGGGAAGGCTTGCCAGCACGGCTCCGCAGTTAGGTTCAGGGAGCCCCTCGCCCGGTCGGGAGCCAGGGACTCTTGGATCCCGGGCTTCCCCTCCCTTCACCATTTCGGAGGCTGCCTCTCTTCATCCTCATCCTAGCCCAGCTCCTCTCACCTCCAGGGAGCCCTCTCCAGAGTGGCCTAAGCACCTCAGGAGCTCCCTCTCCAGCCAGACTGAGCCCCCAGGCACAGGAGCGGGGAACACCGCTGTCCAGCTCCCGGCTGCTCACAGCCCTGTGCCACCCCTACTAGCCACAACCAGACTGGCACATGGCAGAACCTCGGTGGTGCCTTCAACCCCTGGCCACTCTGAGCTCCCACCCACAGCTGCAGTGGGCCTGGAGGCAGCCCCCGGGCTGGGCACCAGTGTACACCTCCACCACTGTGGGACTAGGCTGAGATAGGAGGAGGGAGAAGACAAAGTTCCTGCCCCAGGAACACACTGAGAAAGGGGGAAAGTGACCACACTGGGGAGCACAAAGGAGGGAGACTACTGGCTCCGAGTTGGGAGGGCTGCCTGGACGAGGGGACCTACAGAAAGAAGCAGAATCTCAGAACCTGGGCAGGGGGCATAGGAGGGAGGCCTGGGCTGGGGCCCATGCCCACTGGGCAAGAGGAGAAGGAAGGGCACAGTCCAGCTGCCCAAAGCCCCTGGATGCAGGAATTAGGACTCATCTTAGAGACAGGGACATGGAGGTGTGGCCAGACAGCAGCCCAGTGCCAGGGTCCTGGGAGTCCCGGCTAGCAGCCCACTGCCCAGAAGGGAGGGGGAGGGGAAACTGGAAGCCCCTTAGAGATCTCCATCTGGCCGTGGGGAAGATCTAGGCCTCGAACGGCACCCCTCACACTCACCCACCCCACTCCCAGCTTTCCATCACCTGCCCTCTTCCGTAACCGTGACCTCAGACATTTGCTCCTCTGACTCCGTAATGATTCCCACTGTGGGACTCGCAGTGCGCTTTCCATTTTCCACTCCTTAGAGAATGTGTGTAACTTTGATTTCTTTTACTTTAGTTCCTTAGATTCCCCAAAGTGGTCAAAGGGTTGGGATTTTTTCCTAGCTCTTGATATTGCCAGATTAATTTCCAAAAGGGCTATGCCAATATATACCCTGCAACCGTTGAACAGCACGTTGATTTCACAGCAATTTTGCCGGCACTGGGTGTTCTCAAACATGAGGACATTTCTAGCACAGAAGGTGGAAAGTGTTACCTCGTTGGTCATTGTTACTTGTTTTTTGGAGTTGCTTTCCTTCCACGCCTGAGCTTGAACCTTCCCCCAAATATTTGTAAGGCCGCCGCATTCCCTCCTTCCTGCAGTGTGCAGTGTTTTCAGGTTCTTTGCCCATTTATCTACAGGGGTCTTAACCTTTTGGTTGGGTATGAGCTTTATCTTATCTATTGTACATTTTCCTTCAACACTGTTATTTGCTTTTGTTGGGCTTTAAGCAGAAAAGGGACTTTTAGCCAGACCAGTGTTGTGGACACCTCCCCCTGACCTGGTCTCCTATCTCAGCGCTCACCACACCTGAGACCTTGTGCAGTGCCCTGGCTGCCTATGGATCTGCCCTGCCTATTGTGCCCATGGAGGAAAGGATGGAGGCCACCAGCCTTGGTTGAGTGGATGGCATTCTGACATTGGGCAGGGCAGGGCAGGGTGGAGGGCAGGTCGTTGCAGGCCTGGAGGCTGGGAGACTGTTGTGCAAGACGTGACAGTGACCTGGCCTAGAGCTGATGAATTTGAGCCCTTGGCTAGGATAGGGGACAGGGGACAGAGGCATGGATGTGAGAGAGATTTAGCTGGAAACTACTTCTCTCCACTTTGATCAGCCAAGGGGAGAGCCAGGGGTCACTCTTAGGATCAGTTTAGGGCTGGGAGCTCAGGGCTCCTGGGTACTTTTGGCCAGTGCTGTGTGAGTGAAGCCTGCTGGGGTGGGAGGTGCTCTGGGCCAAAGCTGCAGAAAGTTTCTGATCCTGCTTCCTCCTCCCCTGGGCGATTTCAGTGGCATCCCACCTTTGGCCAAGCTGGTAGCTATAAGTCCATTACAGAGATGGTGCCACTGAGATCCAGGCAGGGGAGAAGATGGTCCAGTATCACCGAGTGAGTTGAGTTGAAGGCAGCTTCTGCGACAGGGGGGCTGGGCTCTTGTCCCCACCCCTCCCCCTGCCTCCCGAGGCCAGGCTGGCGCCGGCCAGGGGAGCCGCAGCTGGTCCCCTGCTGGGCCCCTGACCTGCCCTTGGCCTCTGCCCCGACCCCGTCCCGCCTCGGTGGAAGCCCCAGCTCAGCCGACTCGCAGGTCCCACCCGACTGCTTCCTTCGGCTAGCACCCGTTGGCTCACCGGCGCCCAGGCCCGCCCCCGCAGCCCCGCCCCGGCCCGCCCCTCGGAGTTGTAACTCCACGTCCCAAGGCTGTCTCCAAGGTGGAAGCTGGGTCCAGCTGCCAGGAAGCTGCTCGGCTTCCACGTGCGAGCCTGCACCGCCGCCCCGCCTTCTCCTAGCGGCCGGGCCTAGGGACTCCCTGCCCCGGGACGGCGCACCGCGTTCCGCCGTGGCAGTGGCCGTGGCCAGAACGTCCACGCGCAGTCGCCTACCGCCGGATCGCGCTCCAGGTCTCTCTCCTTTTGTTCTCTCCTGAGGGTGGGGGGAGATGGTGACCGGGGCCAGGTCACCTCTGAGAGGACTCGCTGAGGCCCAGCACCTCTGCTCCGCCTGTTTCCCTGGCCCACCTGGCCGTGGGGGAGATCTGGGTCTTGAAAAGCACCCCTCACACTCACACCCCCACCCAGCAAAGTCGGAAGCTGGAACTTGGGGAGCGATCGCGGGCAGGCCGAGAAAGAGGAGCAGAAAGGGGGTATGGAGGTAGACCGCTGCGGCCTCGGGGTACCCCAAGATGAGCCTCGAAGGGGCGGTTAGATGCTCAACCCTTTTCTGGAGGACCTTTCCCCGTGCTGAGCGGCCGCCTCGGGGGTTTTCTTGGGGCACCTTATTGGGAATCCTCGCGTTGGGGGGCCCTGGGCTCCCGCCTTCTGGACGCCCTCGGCCCGCCGGGAGCTCACACTGCGCCTTCCCTCTCTCCATAGTGCCCGTGGCCCGACGTGTCAGAAGCCGAGCGCCGATGGAGGGACTGGGGCGCTCGTGCCTGTGGCTGCGCCGGGAGCTGTCGCCCCCGCGGCCGCAGCTGCTGCTCCTGGACTGCCGCAGTCGCGAGCTGTACGAGTCCGCGCGCATCGGTGGGGCGCTGAGCGTGGCCCTTCCCGCGCTGCTGCTGCGCCGCCTGCGGAGGGGCAGCCTGTCGGTGCGCGCGCTCCTGCCCGGACCTCCGCTCCAGCCGCCCCCGCCTGCCCCCGTTCTCCTGTACGACCAGAGTGGGGGCCGGCGCCGGTGCGGAGAGGCCGAGGCTGAAACTGAGGAGTGGGAAGCCGAGTCGGTGCTGGGTACCCTGCTGCAGAAGCTGCGGGAGGAAGGCTACCTGGCCTACTACCTCCAGGGTAGGTGCCGCGGGGCCCTCCTTTCCAGGGGGTTCGGGATTCCTTTGACCTTAGGCCAGCCCAACCTCTTGTTTTCCAAAGCGGGTTGAGGCCCCCCTCCCCTGATGACCTGCCAGGCTGCTCTGAGAGGAGGGGAGCCCCAAGTATGACCTCCAGCAGGTTCTTCACTCTCCGAAGCCCCAGTCTCTGAGTCTGGAAAATGGGGGGTTGGCCTGACCTGAGCTAGTTCCCAGGATGCTCGAAAGGGAAGTACAAAGCTCGGGTTCCGCAAAGAACAGCAGGGACGGGGAGGGAGACTGGGGGGAACAGGCCCAGGGCAGAGACAGTGTTCTCATGAATCCAGAGCCAGCCGTCGCCAAGAAAGGTCCACTGGACTGTATTAGGGACATATAAAGTGTCAGCTTTCCAGCCTGGGAAAAGAGTAGTATCTGTAAACAGAGGTGCTGGGTTCTTGGGACTTTACAGCCATTCTGGTGGAATGTTACATTCTCCCCCAAGCTCCCCACATCTTGGGGTCCCACTTCATCTCTGAGGGTGCTCCTGGTCTTGCTGGATCAGAAGACACCCAGGCAGAGAACTGACATCTGGGCTCTTCCTTGTCTTTAACTGATGGCCACAGTCCTCCCTGAGGCTGGCAGTACATCTAGACTCTGTTGAGCCCTCACACCTGCCTCAGCTTGACCCTAGGGGTGTAAGATTCTCTTGGGTGGCTCAGCATGAGCCCAGCTTCTTGCAGCCCCAGCAGCTGCAGTGGACACTTGCTGTCCAGAGCAGTGGCCATGAGTGCTCAGTGAGGGTGGCTAGGGCCCCACGTGGGCACCAGGACACACCAAGCTGCTGGCTTTTGTGTTCCCTCTGGGGACATTTGCAAACCCCCTGAGTTGTCTAGGGTCAGCTCCCCAGCCCCAGACAGAGGCACTTGGCTGCCCAGGAGGCCAGATCAGCAGGCCCCATGCCCTCTCCCTGACAGGTGGCTTCAGCAGATTCCAGGCCGAGTGCCCTCACCTGTGTGAGACCAGCCTGAGTGGCCGTGCCAGCTCCAGCTTGGCCCCGCTGCCCAGTCCAGCACCCGTGGTGGGGTTGGGCAGTTTGTGCCTCGGCTCCGACTGCTCTGATGTAGAATCTGAGGCTGACCGCGACTCCATGAGCTGCGGCCTGGATTCGGAGGGTGTCACACCCCCCCCAGTGGGGCTTCGGGCATCCTTCCCTGTCCAGATCCTGCCCAACCTCTACCTGGGCAGCGCCAGGGATTCAGCCAACTTGGAGAGCCTGGCCAAACTGGGCATTCGCTACATCCTCAATGTCACCCCCAACCTCCCAAACTTCTTCGAGAAGAATGGTGACTTTCACTACAAGCAGATCCCCATCTCCGACCACTGGAGCCAGAACCTGTCGCAGTTCTTTCCGGAGGCCATTGCATTCATTGGTGAGTCCACCCCGCCCGCCTTCCCACCTCTCCACCTCTCCACTCCCCACCTCTCCACCTCCCACCTCTCCGCCTCCCACCTCTCCCCCCAACCTCTCCGCCCCCCACCTCTCCACCTCTCTGCCCCCTCACCTCTCCACCTCTCTGTCCCCCACCTCCCCACCTCTCCGTCCCCCCACCTCTCTGCCCGCCACCTCTCCACCTCTTTGTCCCCCCACCTCTCCACTTCTCCATCCCCCATCTCTCTGCCCCCCAGCTCTCCACCTCTCCGTCCCCCTACCTCTCTACACCGCCCCCCTACCTCTCCACACCCCAACCTCTCTGCTCCCTCCACCTGTCCGCCCCCACACCAGCTCCTGGCCTCCCCCTTGTGAGCACTCCTCCCAAGTGCAGCTGCCATTCCCAGAGCCCAAAGCAAGGGTGGCACTTCCAGGGAACAGGTAGAACTCAGGGCGGCCCCAAGAGGCCACCAGTGAAACCTCCAGGCCGTGGCCATCTGACTCAAGGGCAGGGCGGGGGCTTGGAGGGCCCTTCGGAAGGCTTGGGCCTCACACACACCTGCCGTCGGGGTCTCCCCGGCCCTGTCCTGCTCTACCTAGATGAAGCCTTGTCTCAGAACTGCGGGGTGCTCGTCCACTGCCTAGCGGGGGTCAGCCGCTCTGTCACTGTCACTGTGGCCTACCTCATGCAGAAGCTCCACCTCTCTCTCAACGATGCCTATGACCTGGTCAAGAGGAAGAAGTCTAACATCTCCCCCAACTTCAACTTCATGGGCCAGTTGCTGGACTTTGAGCGCAGCCTGCGGCTGGAGGAGCGCCGATCGCAGGAGCGGGCCACTGGGGAGCAGCCGTCCACAGCCTCCGACCCGCCCTCCTTCTTCACTACCCCCACCAGCGATGGTGCCTTCGAGCTGGCCCCCACCTAGGGCACTGTAGCAGGCAGGCTGGCCCCCACCTCACCTCCACCCATGGGTGTCCCTGCTCACCCATGGGGCAAGGGAGGGGAGGATGGGAGGGCTTGGCCTGAGCAGGGGGCTGAGGGGAGAGCGCAATACCTCACGCGGGCTGGCGTCCTAATCAACGTGCCTACGGCAGGACCACGCTTTGAGCCTGCCTCTTCTGCGACTGTTCCTCTTTTCTTTGCGGGATGGGAGTGGGGGTTCCTCTCCAGGTGACTGTCCAGGCGCTGGCCCTGGCCCTGGGTGCTCAGCCAGCTCGGCTGGGCCTTGTGCCTCCCTGTGCTTCCCTCTTCTGGAAGGGGGTGTGCCACCTTGTTGCCACAGGGACTGCCTCCCAGTCCCTTCCCTGCCCTCAAATGGCCACTTGGGTGGGGGAGGAGTTTGCCATCACTGGTGATGTCACCTCCCTACTTCTCCACCAAGGGCTGGGGGCTCTCAGGGCTGGGACCTCTCAGGGGATACAGACCCAGATGTGCCGTGGCCACCCGCATCCATGGCCTGGGAGCCACTGGGCAGGTTCCCTTCCACACAGATGTCTTGATGGGATCACTGGTGCTCTTTGTGAGTAAGGGTGGTCAAACTGCCGCCGGAGGAGATGGGGTCTCAGAGCGGGAGCTGGGAAGGGGAGGGGAAGAAGAAGGCCTCACTTCTGCTGCTGCTTTGTGGGGCGTGGAAGGGCCTAAGCTGCAGACACACAGTCATCCCCCACGGGTGGCGGGTATGCGCGTGCGCACGTGTTGGCACTCACACGCACACTAGTCCCCGGATGCACCCCACCCAGGGCTGGCAGTCTTGGTGGCACGGGACCATCTCACCCTGGAGCCTGGAGAGGAGCTATGCTTCTTCATTTTTGTAATCCACCTCATCATTGCTTTCTTTAATTGTTCCTTCTGAATAAACAGTTTATTTAAGATACTGCACAGAGGGAAGCTACCTCCTGAGCGCCTTGGAGGGTTTAGGGGAAGGTGGGGAAGGAGGCCCTCTTGGTCTCTCTGGACTGTCCATGGTAGAAAGGGGTGTGTGCCAGGCTGGCCAGGGACTCGAGTGCGACCCCACTCCCCCCATGTTACCATTTCCCATCTGGTGCTTGTACTGCCCACTGGCCAAGATTTGACTCACTCGTTCATGCTCCGCCATTTGAAGCCGTAGTCTGTGCCACACTCTGTCCTGGGCACCAGGTTGCAGCAGTGAACCCTGCCTGCTCAGAGCAGGTTTTCCAGAGGGGAAAGAAATGATAAATGCAACAGTGACAACATAGGTGTCCCGTGCCGTGGACAGAGCAGACGAGCGAAGACCCAGCACTCACAGCTGATCCCTGAGACACCAGCCAAGTCACTCCCAAGACCTACCTAGAGCCTCCCAAGGGCCGCCCTAGCGGGTGGCATCCTAAGGGTGACCGGAAGGGGCATGGCAGACTGGCACATGTGAATGTTGTGGTTCTCTGACCGTGGGATTTGGGCTGCAAAGGCCCAGGCTGGGGACTAGAAGACCCCCACGAAGACCAATGGTCCACCTAAAGGGACACTGGCAACACCTTCTCCACACCATAGCTGGTGGGGTCTCATGCAGGTTTTTGGAGCAACATGGCCCAGAACCTGCAAGATGTTGGGCCGATCTAAAGGCAGGTGCATAAATGAGCTGAGAAATGATGTGAATCCTCTGGTCCAGACCAGGAGCCAGGACCCTCCAGGGGAACGCAGCCCACCAACTCCTTGATTTCAGTCCAGTGAAATCTATTTTGGATGGCATGAAATCTGTGTTGTTGTAAGCCAGTAACTCTGTGGTAATTTATTACAGCAGCCACAGAAAACAGTGGTCTGGCCAGGCACAGAGACTCATGCTTGTAATCCCAACACTTTGGGAGGCCAAAGCAGGTGGATCACCTGAGGTCAGGAGCTCAAGACGAGCCTGGATAACATGGGTAAACGCTTTCTCTACTAAAAATACAAAAAAAAATGAGTTGAGCATTATGGCACATGCCTGTAATCCAAGCTACTTGGGAGGCTGAGGCATGAAAATCACTTGAATCCGGGAGGCGGAGGTTGCAGTGAGCTGGGATCCCTCCACTGCACTTCAGCCTGGGTGACAGAGTAAGACTCTGTCTCAAAAAAAAAAAAAAGAAAAGAAATAGTGATGTGGTTGCTGCATTTGACTATTCACTTAGATTGTGACAGCCCAGTAAACATAGCAAAGTTTAAAACATTAATAAAATACATTTTTAAGTTTTTATTTTAGAAACAAGGTCTTAATATAAAGCTTAAATAGGCTGGGTGCGGTGCCTCAGCCTCCCAAAGTGCTGAGATTACAGGAATGAGCCACCGCACCTGGCCTATTTAAGTTCTAAATGAAGTGGTCCATAGGTCCCATTGCTCCAGAGAGACCAGCATAAGCAAGTACAAATCCTCTGTGGAGAGAGGGATGCCCTGTAAACACAGGCCTCAAAGCATTTCTATAGAAAATTCCAAAATATGTAATTTTTTAAAATCCCAAAATGTGCAAGGAAACAAGCCACCATGAGTTATAGAAACATTCAACATGTGAATTTGAGTATCAGTCCTGCAAGGTCCTGCCTTTGAAATTATATGACAAAGAATATAAGTATAATTAATATGTTTAAAGAAATAAAAGGAAGTATTGAAACTGTAAAAAAAAAAAGAATATAAAATGACTAGGCATGCTTGAAAGAAAAGCAAAAAGAATTCCTAGAAATTAAAAATATGATCATTGAAATTGGACCTTTAAAGTTTAAACAGCATATTAAACATAGCTGAAGAAAGAAATAGTGAACTGGAAGATGAATTTAAGGAAATTACCCAGAATGCAGCACAGAGAGAGAAGAAGATAGGTCACACATATATATAGTTGAATTTCTAGAAGAGAAAGGAGAATAGGGAATATAAAATATTTTAATAAAGAATGTCCGAGAATGTTCCAAAACTGATGGAAGGCACTATGGAAGAGATTGCTAAGTGTCCCCCAGTATCCATTCTCAGCTTCTCCTTTTTAGAAATAGTGTCCAAAGGTTAATAGTGTATATGGCTTGACACCTAGAAACTTTATTTCCCATCCTCCCTTGCAGCTAATTGTGGCCATGTTCTTGCATATTGTCTCCTATTTCTATTAGTGCCCTTAGCATTTTAATCATATATATTTTAAACTACTGGTCTGATCATTCCAACACTCCTGTTATAGTTGAGTCTGCTTCTGGTACTGGCTCTATCTTTTTGAACTGTGTTTTTTGGCATTTAGTATGTCTTGTCTGGTTTTTTGTTTTCTTTGTCAAAAGCTGGACACATACTGAGCAAAAGGACCTGCTGCAAATGGGCCAGAATGATATGGAGGGAGGAAAAGCATTGAACTCTATAATTAGGTTTCCACCTTTGGGTGTGCCTATGCCCCCAGACTGTGAATTTCACCAATGCTTCCCAGATTGTACCCCACTTAGGTGGGCCAGGCGGGCTACAAGAGGCTGAGTTGGGTATTTCCCTTCCCTTCCTTTCCCTCAGGTCAGTTCGGCTCTGGCAAAACCCTAATAGGTTGGGCCTGGTAAGGGTTAATCTTGAGGGCAGGCCTAGTTAAGAACAGAATACTCTGGGCATATTTCAAAATGGCCATCTTCCCCTTCCCCTGCCAGAAGCATGATGAGATTTTTCTCACTGTGAGAACCTGGTTGAGCTCCTGAAGGTAAAACTTACAACAGTATAGGAGCCCCACTAAGACTGCCCCCACCCCGGAATTCTAACTCTCAGACTTGTTCACACTGAGTCTCCAGCAATTCAGCAATTGCAGTTCAGGTGTTCCTGTGCCAGCACTGCTAAGTTGTGATTCTCTGTGCCCACCTGTCTCCCAGTTTTGGGAGCAGCAGTTAGCCTGGTGACTTCAATTCTCTGATAAATCTAAGAGGAGTTGCTGATTTTAAGTGTGTTCCACTTTTACTTGTTCTTAGAACAGACTGATGACTTCTGGCCTCGTGACACACTGGACCAGAAACAGAAACTCTCCTGGGTCAGTTTCTGTTGGGTGATTTTTCTTCTCATGATGGCTCACATTTTTATGCCTCTTCTGCCACAGTCAGAAAGCCGGGACATAGGGCTCGCGTAGTCTGTTGTCTTTCTCTCGGGAACTAGTCCTTCAATGGTTGCTGTCCCCCATCTGAAAACAATGGATTTCATATATTTGGCCAAGTTTCTAGCTGTTTATGGTGAGACAGTAATTCTGAACCTGTTATTCCCTCACATTAAGCATTAAGCAAAATAAGTAAATTATCCAGTTAGACAGGATTTTTTAAAAATCCAGCTATAAGCTGTTTACAAGAGATGCATCTAAAGGACAGGACCAGAAAGGACTGCTTAATGCTTTTTGGATCTATTTTTAACATATTATGTTATACTTACTACTTATTCCAATGTTTCTGTTTCTTTATTTCCCTTATTTGACTTTTGTTTTGATTAGTGGATATTTTCCTTCATTATTTGCTATTTTCCTCTACTAGTTTGGAAGTAGCACATCCTATTTATATTCTAGTTACTCTAAAAAATTTAACATGCATATTTGTCTTAACAAAACGTAAAGTCAATGTGAGGGAAGAACAGGTCTCACCATAAACAGCCAGTGAAGGAAGAAAACAGACTAGACGAGCCCTATGTCCCAGCTTTCTGATTGAGGCAGAAGAGGCATAAAAATGTGAGCCATATGATTCACTTGAGCCCAGAAGTTCAAGACCACTCTGGGAAGCCTGGCAAAACCCCATCTCTACAAAAAATAGAGAAAATTAGCCAGGCATTATGGTGCACACCTACAGTCCCAGCTACTCAGGAGGCTGCAGCAAGAGGATTGCCTGAGCTCAGGAGGTTGCAGTAAGCCGTGGTCGCACCAGTGCACTCCAGCCTGGGTGACACAGCAAGACCCTGTCTCAAAAAAAAAATAAGTGACCCATAATGAGAAGAAAAATTGGCCAATGAAAACAGAACCAAAGGAGTTTCAGTTTCTGGTCCAGCATGTAAGGAGCCCGGAAGTCATCAGTCTGTCCTGATAACAAATAAAAGCAGAACAGACTTAAAACGGAACACATATTTTGATATGTGCAATTGGAGGCTCTGAAGAAGAGGAGAAAGAGAATGGGGCAGAATAAATCTTTGAAGAAATAATGGCTAAACACTTCCAATGTTTGGTGAAAAGCATTCATCAGATCCAAGAAATTCTATTAACCTCAAGTAACATAAACACAAAGAGAGCCACGCATAGACACTTCATGGTTAAATGATTGAAAGCCAAAGACAGACAATTTTGCAAGTATTATTGCAGGAGAAAAATAACCCATATAGAAAGGAAAGACAACAAAATTAACATCTGACTTCTCATCAGAAACAATGGAAGCCAGAAGGGAATGGAATGACAAAGTAAACGTGTTGAAAGAAAAAAATGTGTTTTGAGACAGGGTCTCGTCTATCACCCAAGCTGGAGTACAGTGGTGTGATCTCAGCTCATCGCAGTCTCAACCTCCTGGGCTCAAATGATCTGCCTGCCTCGGCCTCCAAAAGTGCTGAGATTACAGTTGTGATGACACCTTGGGAGGTCAAGGTGGGCGGATCACCTGAGGTCAGAAGTTAGAGACCAGCCTGGCCAACATGATGAAACCCCGTCTCTACTAAAAATACAGTAATTAGCCAGGCGTGGTGGTATTACACCTCTAATCCCAGCTACTTGGGAGGCTGAGGCACAAGAATCGCTTGAAACTAGGAGGCAGAACTTGCAGTGAGCAAGACTCTGTCTCCAAAAAAAAAAAAAAAAAAAAAAAAAAAACAGAAAAACTGAAGGTTTAAAAAAAGACATTCCCAGATAAACGAAGGCTGACATTATTAATTGCTAGTATGCCTCCTTACAAGAAATACTCAAGGAAGTCCTTCGGGCTGAAA